CAAAAACATACAGACGAATCTCATTTAGAACTATCCCCAGAGACAAGAAGAACAAGGAGCCCTGTAACAGATGGTCTGGCCCCAGCAGAGCCCTGATATCAATGTCAAGGTGTTTCATAAGATTATTTGAAAATAGATGGCATATACAAAACACTGAGGCATCCTGAATCAAGAAAGAGGATAACCTTTGAGGAATTCTCCACGAAGCCTGGAGTAACCTACACGCCAGGCGCCTTGACAAACTGTGTTTGGAAAAGAACTGGTGCTGTTAAACTCAAAATGGGTGGAACACAAATATAAAGGAATCCCCACTTTACTTGAAATGGTTAAAGCTGATGACTGTTGATGCTACATGGGCTGGTTTGACTATTTCAGAAAATCTCCTGAGATTTTTGCACACAACCATCTATAGAGGTTTTACTCTGCAGAGGACAAAGATTCACAACACTTGAAAGTTCACTGGAAGACTCAGAAGCTCACAGTGAGGCATTAATAGCTTAATCCATGGACCCAACGGCCTTGTATCAAACATCCTGACCGCTGAAGGTGTGGGAAATGTATTGTTGACGTACTGTGGGACTTTAATATGAATTAATTTTGGTTTGAAAGCCACACTCTAAGCTTGAGTATTGTTGCAGACCATGTTCATCCTTTTAATGGCCACAGTTACTTCCAGCAGGATGATGCTCCATATCAAAAATCAATAAACATTAATTGTGACCTTTTTTCATAAATTACACCTCCAGCAAAACATGAACGAGAGTTAGAAAGACTTTAACAGGCTCTGATGAGAGTTTCAATTAATTATTCACCATGGCTGAAAATGATTCTCACACTTAATAACATGAAAGATCTGTTTTCTGCCATTGCTTTATTGTAGAGCTGTGTATAGTGCTGGTCTGTCACAGTCAGTTAGCCATTGTCAGCAACAGTGAAATCCTGTCTTTTGGTTGCCAGGGGGACCATCATAACATCCATAACGCTTTTACAGTGCATGACAGGCAAATAGAAATCAACATAACATGAGTGATTTCCACTGAAGCTGTGTGCATGTCGTTCTCAGCAGGCGGGCAGACCTACACCTGCTCTGTCTGTGTACCTGTCATCCTGGTGTGAATGAGATATGAATGCTCTCTGGGCAATCACATTGATCAACCCCGACTTTGATTAGCTGCTGGAGATGTGGCAGCTTGTGAGGCCAGTGAGACTAATTTATAATTCAGAGCTTGAACAACTTCACATTCTTTTTGACTTGTACATAAGTAAGATGAATCCCGGTAATCTGGGACATTATTAGAAATGTTGACTTCTGTGACTTATTCCAATATCTGTTTGACGCATTAGATCAACATTTTATACCTTTCTGTAATCCTTAAGATGTTTTCTGACCACACCTCATACCCTTGTCTGCTTTCCTCCTCCAGAACTGCGTGGATCACAGCGGACATTGAGGCTAATAACACAGTGTAAATTAACTTGTTTCAATTAAAATGTCGGGGGCTTACAGACACCACAGGATGAGTATGGATGCATTTTATGTTTTTTTATGTTGTTTTTTTTAAGTTTGAAGAATTGATCCCCAGTTACTTCAATTGTATTGGATTTGGCTGCAATGCTGTCTACCCTTGAAACTCCAAAAGTGTTTTGTGGACTCAAACACTTCACTCACCCCCTCCATCGACATAGTGGTGAATAGATAATGGGTCCATTTTCATTTTTGGGTGAACTATCCCTTTAACTCCTGTCTGACAACTACATTTCTTAATTTTATCATTGTTTTAACTTCAGGTTCAAGTCCCCAAATGCATTTTTCCCCATTAAGGGATTACCCAAAGCATGCTTTCCCACATTATCAACTACATTTGATAAAGTGGGAAACCCAAAATAAAAAATAAAAAAGCACATTTTCAACAACTCAATGCACTTTGTGTTGCTTGAATACATCACAAACATAATTTGATAACAATTAGAAACCTTGACTTATTTATGACGGATTTATATCCCTAACATTAATCTTGTCAGAATCCTATGTCATTGACCTTGTCATGCAATTCCAAATGGGGAGGCTTCTGATTGACATTCGCCTGGCCCCTTTCTGTGACATCATGATGTCAGTCACATGATATCCATGCTAACCTATACTAAAAGTCCTGTTGACTAGAATTTGTTGGAACAGGAAATAAATTGACTGAAGCTTAGGTGTCCCACATTACCCAATGTCCCAGATTACCCAAATTCACCCTATGATTTTTTTCTCTTCTGTCCCTGGATGGCACATGTAACTCCCACGGACTCATCATACTCATCTCGCAAATAACACAATCCAGCAGAGAACAGACAACACATTTCCACACTGAAACAGTGATACAATCTGCACTGGGTCACACAGGCAGACCATTGTTGGTCTATTCTACTGTATCAGTCTCACTCATTGCCTTAAAGGAGCTTAATGGTCGAACAGCATCCAACTCACCACTGAAAAAGAGACAACAAAGAGTCCCTCAGAGATAAACATTCATGCAACTGTTTATTAGTCTGACATTAACAGTGAATGTGTATATTAGAGACAATGCCACTTTAGTGAAAAACACTGATGTGGAGAAGCTTCTGTGAAAATTTTCCTGCAGCAGAAAAGTACTGACTTTTGACATTTGGATTCATGCGTAGAATCTTAAAGGTTCAATGTGTCAGATTTAGGTCAAAAGAATTTTTGGCAGAAATTGAATATAAAATAATCCTAGTGATGTTTTCACTGGTGTGTTTCATCTAAATTGTATGAATTGTTGTTGTCTCTACCATAGAATGGGCCTTTATATTTAAAAACGTTATATTTAAATGGAGGGGGGTCCTCTCTGTGGAGGCCGCCATGTTTTTTACTGTCGTCCAAACTGGACAAATTAAAACCTTTTGAGTTTTCATGACAACTGAAGTTCACCACAGGTTCTCTTTCATGTTGGGAAGAGAGAGATGAGGAGTACTCAGCGTCAACGTGAAACTTAGATGGTCTGAGCTTTTAACCAGCCTGGATATCCTGAGGTCAACCCACAGCGCTTGGACAGAGCACGACTACTGTCAGCAAGTGCACTCTAAAATCAGGTTAGGATTACTAATGAGTGGTTCAACATCATGCTTTGTGATAAACCAGTGACTCCATTTACAGTATTTGTAGGAGCCATAAATAAAGAAGAATATCATTATTATTATTATTATTTTGGCCGCGGCCTCTTAGCACCATGTTTTGCCTGTGAATGCACCTGATGCACCAGATATCAGAGGACTTTCAGGCTTAAACACAGTGCAAATGATCTCATTTCAAGTAGAATATACGTGTAAATGCCAGGGCTTGCGGACACTTGGATTACACCACAGGAGCAGATTGGAGGCATGTTATTTTCTTTCTGTTGATTTATTACGTCTGAAGGCCCATTTACCCCTGAGGCTCCAGAAGTGTTTTGTGGATTCAAACACTTGACCCACCCCTCCATCGACATAGTGGTGAGTAGACAATTAGTGAATTTTTTATTTTTATTTGTATTCCTCTGACCTACAACTAGGATATCCTGGTGGTGTATCAGGACAGTATGGGAATGTGTATGATGGAGATAGTCCATGTACCATTTCAATCAAACAATCAATCCAATTTTATTTGTATAGCCCATAGTCACAAATCACAATGTTTGAATATGGAGCAACATTCTCTAAAAACTACCCAAAAAAACCCTGTTAACAGGGGGGGAAAGCATGGAAACCTCAGGGAGAGCCCATGTAAAGGATCCTTCTCCCAGGATGGACAGAAGTGCAATAGCTGCCATCATTCCCAAACAGTCCTGATAAACTTGTGATGGACCTGAATTATAATTTAACCTAAAAATTACTTTCTGGAGGAACTTTGGTAAAAAAATATGATCAGTGTTAATATATGTATTTTTTTGTAATTCAACTTAAACAGCTATAACTCATTCATAATGCAGGTATCGTTATATTCAGGATAACATACTGTTGGAATAAATATGGAGAAGAGCTTTAAAATGACCAATTTTATCTGAACAATTTCTGTGTCACAAAGTTCATTTTGCCCATATCCACCTTAATTGTGATCCAAGATATATAAAATTGTATGGTGTAGGTTTCTCATGTGACCCAATCGGCATGCCAAGTTTCATTCGATCAGAACTTTGCTGTCCAAAGGTGTGATGATTTGATGCAGAATGAGCCAAAGGTTTTCTTTACTCCTGTTTAGAATGTTTCCAGGCAGTCTGTAACCAGTACAAATTAAACTTGCTCAACTTTTACTTCATGTGAGATCCCTCGATCATGATTGGAAAAAGGGTCACATGATGCATGCAGTTTAAAGACAATAAAATATGGGTAAATAGTAATATTAACTTGATTAGTAGTCGCCACGGAAGGTTCTCTGCACAGACACATTCATAACAGCAACAAATCCTCTGCATTATTCAGGCGAGAGGTGGAGCAGCAGGGTGCAGCAGGCAGAGACAGGAAGTGACATATTAACTCTGCTGTGGAGATCATGTGATTTTCTTTACGACACACAGACACCAGTGTCGACTCTTATCACCAAAAACTCTCTGGACATCTTCGTAAGTGTCTTCTGCATGTGTGTGAATGGATGAATGGCAAAACTGTACTGTCAAATGCATTGAGTGGCCATAAAGACTAGAGAAGGGCTTCATAAATACAGACCATCTACCAAGTAAATGAATGAGAGCTCAACAGTGGTGTTGGCTGCAATTACAGTTCCATTGCCCTGTTGTGCTTATTGTTCATCACAGGTTTTCAACTATGTGATTCATCAAAACATTCCTTCTACGCACCATGCCATGAATCTGAAATGTTAGTCAAACTGAGAAAAGCAGCCAGTCACAAACAGCTTTAGTACTCAAAAACACTGTTTTTCGAAGAACCCCTACAATATGAACTTCTACACATAGGAACTGAGAACAGTTGCACAAATAAGTGGTTGTAGGCCAGTGACTTACCAAGAAGAGCTTCAAACAGATTGCTTTTGAAAATCCCCATCACTCTCTGAATGGCAGTTTTGAGCTGCTGCTCCTCCGGCTTCCTCAGTTTCGTGCAGTACTCCTCCAGAAGCCCCAAGGCTCGAGCTGTGTCTGCACAGGAGAGAGCAGATATCACACGTGTTGCTTGGGTTTATTTTCTTCACATAATATTATGTACATTCTTCATACACTGATCAGGCACTATATTGAAACCAACAACTGTGGCTGGTCGGCTGAGGGTGTACATACAAATGTAAACATATATTTATGAACAAATATATAGCAACAACATTGAATAATGTGCCCTACTAAAACTATAGGTACAAGTGTATACAGATTAATAAACTGGGCTCAGATGGATTTGCCCTCCTCCACAGCTGTGCTCACTCCACACTGCAGAGGCAAAAGACCCTGTTCCTGAGTCCAAAAGTTTCCCTTTTGGAAACTGGCTGCAGGGATTTGCTTCCATCCAACTACAAGAGCATAAGTATGGGTTGAGGTGGGGGCTCTGTGCAGGCCAGTTAAGTTCTTCCACACCATATGGAAAAACAACTTGTTTGTGGAGCTGGCTTTGTGCACAGGGCTTTGTCAGCTAGACTCAAGAGAGGTTCAAACACTAACACTTGTTTGTAGGCAATTATGTCTATAAACCTTTCCCTGCACATTCTCATGCCACTAGAAACCAAATGTCAGCCAAACTTGAGTTCAGACTGTTACTCAAAACAAATGCGACATGGTGATGTGACAGCAAAGCATCAAGGTCTTTCACGTTCAGCATGTACAGGGTTGGATAAAAGCTGGAGGAGGAAAACTCTTTTTACCGGTGGCACATTCAGTGGCTCACCTTTTTTTCTGATAGGCATGACTGACTCTTGTCCTCCAGCTCAGTCTTCAGTGCATGGTGAAAAAGAACAACAGAAAACCAGAGGACAGTGTCTGGGCGCCATCAGCGGGCAACTGGGGGGGGTGTCCAGGAGGTCTGTGCCCAGCAAAGCAAGCTGGTGGGGGGGGGGGGGGCAATAAAATAATGGGATCCAAGGTGTCACTGTAATCCACAGAGGCTGAGATGAGGTCCCGGGAGTAATGTGTGCATGTACAGGAATGTAAGGGATGTGAGGACTCCTGGTTTAACACATTGTGCACATGAGGCTGAGCATCACTTCAGCCTGTGTCCACTTCACTACAACATCCAATGACTGCAGAGATAACACAGCGCAGAAGTGCTTCGTCATGACTGGTTCCGTGAACCGCCTCCAGCACGCACACAGCTGGACCACGAGTCTTCCGGTCCTCACGGTGGATGTGTGTGGCGACGCTGGTTCCGTGTCGCCTGCTGAGGTGTGAGCTGTGAGTCTTGGCCCTGGGTTAACGCTCGCTGCCCCGTCCACGGTGACACGCAGCCGGGTTGGTGTGACAGTCCTGTGTCGGCCCTCTGTCTGCAGAGCTGCTCCACATCCCCCGACACACGCGTGAAGTTTCTACCAAGAGGGACGCGGGCTGAGAGGAGCCATGTGACGCTCCGCCCGCCGCCGAGTGGATGAGGACTTTGAAGCAGAAATGTCACCCGTTCCCCTTCTTCTTCTTTTTCACCACGATCAAGTAAATGTCAGCCGACACGTAACAGTCACGTCAGAGTTGCTCGTGTGGAAGTTCTGACTGGTGGAGGAGCGCGTGTGTCCCATGAGGCGAGTGATGACAGTCCATGACATTAAAACAAAGGCCGTTCACGCTACGTGTCCAAGTTGCCTCTACGCACGAATACAAACATGCGTGTTGTCCATTAGGAAGCTAGCATCCATGCTACATCACCAGCACTGAGATGATGCTTCCCCAGTGCGACGCCTGGCTGTGGGAAAATACCTGCCTGCCAACTGTGGGAGAACACGCATGGCTCTCAAATGACTCCATGGATTTTCATATTCCGTGAAATGGAGACTGTGCATGCGGAGGGAATGTGTTCCGATAGAGAAACAGCCCCGTCCTTGAGCTGCCACATCAGTTTATAGTAGGAGCAGGTGCAGCACCGGAGCGTTAGCATGAGAAGTGACAGCCTCGCCAACAGTTTGGAGCGACCCGGGCAAGACAGCCGTAATGAGTAGAGAAACTTCCGGTGAACGCTTTCAAAATAATACACAGTCCTTAACTTGATTCTCTCCAACAGACCGTGTATAATTGTGTATCTATGTGGTTATTAGTATTTAATGAAAAGACCCGTGGTGATTGAACTAAAAAAGCTTTTAAATGGGCAGATGTGAAACCATGTTGTTTATTAGCAAGGTGTACATTCAAAGCAAGAGCCACATGTCTTCTACACGATGATAAATGATTCATCATAAGTCACAAATTAAACAGGCTCACTGTGGCTCATGTGCAATGGTTTTTAAAGTGGGATCAATTTTCTGCTAAATCCAGCTTCCTTATCTGTGAAGGGCTCAGCACTGCGAAATGTAGCTGTGCGTAAACACGTAAATACTCATTGTTACCTCCAACTATGGTATCTAATGTATCTATGAACAGACTTACAGAGAGAGATCGGCACTATAATACAAGACAAACCAGCATCATGTCACAAGGTTACCTCTGTACGCCATCCTGTCATCCAGCGCTAGTTTTACACAACAAATTTGACTGAGTTGCAGCTCCATACTTTTAATTCGAAAGGACATTGGTCTGACTTCCGAGGCGAACAGGGCGGACTTGACGCAGCTGTTGAACTTACCTTAGCAACGCAGAGGCTGGAAGCTGGTTAGCGGGCTGTGGTTGCGATGGACAGACCATGACAGCCAATCACAGAGAGGGATTTCTTGTCGCATCAGGGTGGATCGACCAATGAGAAAGCTTTAGACCTGCGCGAAGGTGAGAGGTGAAATATTGCTGCATTGAATGTATTGTAGGAAATGTGGCTTGTTATTATTATTATTATTATATTGTGAGGTCAAATATATATAAATGTAGTCTACACATAATTAATTGTGTGTGTGTGTGTGTGTGTGTGTGTGTGTGTGTGTGTGTGTGTGTGTGTGTGTGTGTGTGTGTAAAAAAATAATACTTATAAACAATAAACTCAAAGTAAACACATACTGAGCTGGGGTTAGATTGTGTTTTTATTTTGCTCTCCCCTTGCAGCCATTTGTCTGTCATCTGTTTCCCACCAGTATTGCTTCTTGTTGAATAATGCTTATAATTTTCAGTTGTCATGAGAGAGAATCTCAAATGAAAATGTCAGACTGGCACAGAGAAGCATGACTGTGAGGACAAGGATAACTGGAGGAATGCAGAAAAAAAAGAGTCAAAAATAGTTTCAGACTGTTTTACTGAGGTTCAGATGTGATAGTGTAGCTCCAACACACAAATGCAGTAAAAACGACTAAAAATCTGAGATCATTGCTGCTTCTGAGGTAAATATTTATGATAACAACTATCATCTACTGCCAAAAGCTCTGCTGCGTCCAAGTGTTGACTTTCTAATATGAAACAAACCTCTCAATGAAACTGTCAGTCACCTTACAGTAACATTATGTTTATTGAAGATGCTTGATGCACTAATTACACAAACAAACAAGGTTATATACAAATCACAAGTGCTCAGATTGGATGTATCTTCAGATCACAACAATTTAATAACTTTGATTGTGTCTTCTGCACTATTTTGTATTATTTCTACAAATAATCATTTCCAGATGGCAAATTTATCATGTAGTTCAGCCTATATAAACCCAAGTGGTTTATATCATAAATATGGATTTATTCATATTAATTTATCGTAGATGATCATCTGTCATACAGATAGATACACAGTGCTCATTAAGGTGGCTGCTTTCACTCGAAGTGTAGATCCAACTGTACATTCAGTTTCCACACATCTATCACACTTCACACACTCTCACTTTGACATGCTTTTTGCCAGCACAAACATTCTCAGAGGTAAAACATCCTCCACCCATTCCCCATCAGACTCTAACATCCTCTGCCATAAATTTGCTTCGCCGGTCGTCGAATCCATCCAAACCACCTCCACCCCATAACTCTTCCCTGCAAAGAGAGAAGGCAAATGAGTTAGTTTCTTACCAGGTAAGCATGGAAATCATATTCTAACAAGAATTATAATTATTTGTGATAGAATTATTGATTTGTCCTTGTATGAAAGGGAGAAACCATACAAATTATACCTGTTATTAAAACTGGTATTACAAAATTGAGCAGGACTAGATGCTCTATACCAGACATGTCAAATTCAAGGCCAGCGGGCCACTTCCGGCCAATGATACAATTATATCCGGCTGGCAATACAATACCCTGTCTATCTTAACTGGCATGCCGGTAAATAGGATCCACACTTTTTTTTGTGAAAAAAAGCTCCACAGGCCGACCCAAGGTGTACAATGCCCGGCTAGACACACACGGACCGAGCACTCCTCTCCACTCACTGGCTGAGTATTTGATGTTATTAAATTATTTTTCCAGTGTTCCAGAGATCCCAGTGCCTGTGTGCTGCTATCTGTGCCCCATCAAATTCCCCCACATGCTTTTCTCTGTGATGAAGATGAACAAAAACCCACACAGGAGTCGTCTCACTGATGCACACCTTCACTCCATCTTGAGGGTTTCCACAGCACAGAACCTAACCCCAGACATTAATGAACTGGCAGCCAAGGCAGGAGGCCAAACATCTGGCTCTGGCACATGTACATAAAAGAAGAAAGTAGCCGACCTGAATTTGTTTTCTTTTTGCACTTTATCCAATATCCTGTCTGTCCTGTATAATAAATGATGACCCTGTTTGGCCTTTGACATAGTCCCAGTTTTTAATGTTGACCCTCTCTGTGATTGACTTTGACACCACTGCTCTACAGCATCTCCAGAGTGTAAATATGATGATGTATATCAATATCATTACATTATCCTGACATCCACAGTTCTATTCTAGACCTGATCACTGACACTGCACACAGGAAGTGGAAACTGTGGGCAACCATCAGTACCTTAGTGTTTACAGCATACTGACAATAAATTACATTTTGGTATGAACATGAAGAAAATGTGCAAGAAAGGACAAAAAAGACAATATTTTCTTTATTTCAGTGTTTTAACACCCCCAGAAGGCTGGTGGTGTAACTTTATAGATACATTGTTCACTCTCTTCTGAGATTGTGAATTTGAATAAACAGGGATCAGCAGGGATGTAGTAAAATCAATGTTGGAAAGCAGCTTAGTATCAGTTACTTCTTGTTATAGACAAATCAGTCCAAAGTTAAATTCTTCTTTGTTCAGAGATAAATGTTTGAAAGGTGTAATATGACCAGGCTTTGGATTATTCTTCATACAATAGGCCCTCTTAATTCTGCCTCTAGGTTCCCTGCACAGCTTAGTCCTTTATCCCAGTGCAGTTTTCATTGCTTTTATCACACAGACCTTTTATTGAATTCTGTACTACAAAATAGTACATTTATCATTTCTTCCATTGTCTTATTGTTAGTGTCTTTGTGCTGCAAAGACACTCTCTTAATATTACTTGTTATCCTTGTTTTTGCATTTGTATAAAATGGTAGATGGTCTGTATTTATAAAGAGCTTTTCTATTGTTGATGACCTCTCAAAGTGCATTACACTACAGTTTTTGCTGTTCTCACACACACACACATTCATACTGTGCATCTATGTGCAGCACTCTCTCTATGAGAAAGGGTCATTTTGGTGTTCAGTATCTTGCTCAAGGACACTTCAGCATGCAGAATGAGGAATACTGGGATCAAACACTAACCTTCCGGTTAAAGGACGACCGCTCTACCCCCTCAACCACAGCTACCCGTACAGACTATTTTGTATTTGTTAGATCCAGTTTTACGTTGACATTTTTTACCTGGTGTCTCTAACTCTTTTTTACTTCCTGTCTTTGTCTGTTTTCCCTCTTCTGTGATTGTTCTTCCTGATTGTGTATTTATTCGCTGTTCTAACTCGATTTCTTTTTTGCTTCATATTTTTCTTGGTTCCATTTCAAGTTCTATGTTTTTTTACTGAAGTTTTAGTTTAGCACACATTTCTGGGGTTTGAATTACTCTAGTTTAAACTGTTAGTGGAATCGTACCTGTCCCGAGCCCAAGCCTGAGGCCGCCGATGTAGTGGCTGCTCAGTCTGTCGTGATCCCACACTGTGATCTCCACACAGGCCTCTCTGAGGTCCTCCGTTCGGAAGCCGTCGTACACCATAGTGTGGTTGAACATGGGGTTGGCCGTCCTCTTCACCACCCGCGTCTTCTGGCGGCTTTTCCTGCTTGTGTCAGGTAGCACAGTGCTGACACAGGAGGACAGAAGGAAGGAGTTTTTCATTCATTTAGGCAGATCGGACAAATACTGGGAACACAAAGAGTTCAAATCTGAACAACTAAAGAAGTAATTATGAAATAAATAATTACATGAATAAAGTATGTCAGATAATATTAGGCCTTCAGCTAATGATGAATGTTGACTAAGCGACAGATTATCATCTGTTAATCCTTTTAAACAGGATAGTGGGAGGTATTACTTTAGTGTTCATCAATCAATCAATCAACATTTATTTATATAGCACCTTACAACAACCAAGGGTTGACCAAAGTGCTTCACAATTGCAAATCGGACATACACAAACAACAAACACAAGACAAGAACAACAGTTTCAGTTGAAGGCTAGATCAAACAAGTATGATTTTAGCTTGGTTTTGAACAGAGGCAGGTCAGTGGTGGTGCGTAGCTCAGAGGGCAGTGCATTCCAAAGTTTGGGACCTGCTACTGCAAATGATCGGTCACCCTACTGTTTGCTCCTGGTTTCGGGGGACCTCTAGCAGGTGCTGACCAGCAGAGCGGAGACCTCTGCGGGGTTGGTGGAGCTTCAGGGTTTCGCTTATGTAGGTCATGTACATTACTTCTCAAAAGGAGGTCACACAGAATAAACGTGTATTGGATAAAGAGTTCAGAGTTAGTCATTTTGTAAAATGTTACGATTTGCTCATTTTCCCAGAAACAAAGAAAAGCCTTCAAACTGATCTTTTGTATGTTTTTCTAAAGTCTGAAATCACACAACTGACTTTGAAATAAATAAACCATGTGAAAAGACGTATGATACAATCACATGAGTTTCTTGGATTTACAATTTCGCTTTCCATAGCAGTGGTCTGACACACTGCAGGACTTCTTACCATTTCACAAACGGGTCGATGATCACTCCTCTGATTGAAGGGAGATTCTTGCAATCTTTCACCCAAATCTGCACCTCACCAGTCTCCAACCTAGATGTTCTCTTACCTGTGGATGCAGTCAGACCAAATAAGTGCTAATAATAAAAATTTAAATGAAATGTGATCATTCATAGAAGTTGAGGAGTCATCGGCTCACTGTGGGAAGTCTGCGGCAGGAATCTCAGGGCCACTCTCATCTGTCCTCTGCTGTCTATCAGAAGGGAGGGAGACGGGTAGTCTGAGGATTGTGCTGACACCTGAAGAATAGAGCTGATGTTATTGTGTGTCTAATTAAATCACTCCTTTAACTCACACAGTCAAGTCAAGTGACATGAAGTAATTACCCTGGATTTTAATGTGTATTCATTTATCTGTGTGTTGTTGAAGTCCCACTCTGACAGATCCAGGTCCACTTCACCCAAGAAGCTGTTCCGCCCAAAGGTATCGTTGTGCCACACGGACACATTCAGATTCAGAGTTTTTAACATCTGTATTATGATCTTAAACTATTGAAGACAAGAGAGCAACAAAAAATGACGTCAAACATGGAATAGATGTAGAGAGAAATTTGAAAAAATATGGAATATGGAAATCTTACTCGAAGGATTTCATTGTAGTTGGGGTTTAAAGTCTTCTTTTTTACCGTGGTTTTTCTCTTCCCCAACTTTGTTTTGTCAGGAAGTAAGTAACATTTCACATACCTGTAAAAAAAACACCATTACTTGCTCCTGTTACAAACAAGAACATATAGTGGAATGAGAAGAAGGCAACATATATCACTTTATAATAAAACATTTGTCGTCCCTATAACATTGTGAACAGGGAGGAATCACTTACGGGTCAGAGCGGCTCTTCTTGGCGTCGGCCACGGCCAGTTCCCTGCAGTGCACCACAAAGATGTGAAATTCTCCGAGCTTCTGGATGTAGTTCACAGCAAACTGGATGTTTCCCTGGACTTCAATGTCACCGAAGTCTCCAGGGTAAATGCTGCTGGTGCTGCCACTGACCTGATCATTCATAATATGACATGAGAGAGAACACCACCTAGGATTACATGTGAGCTCACAACAACTCCAGACTGTCATGTCATAAGGACATTACTACATCATTTCTTCCCATTCCATTCTACTTTCATCTATGTTATTGATTTTTTTGCAGGTAAATGATATTTAAAAACAGTCAAACATCTGCTTAAAACTACAGTGCCCAGCTGTCTCAGTAAATTACTGAAGATTAACATCCAAAAGTAGGGAAGGCAGAAAGGAGAAAAGAAGTATTACATTTTGTTTTGTTTTGTTTTTTTCATTGGATTGTTGACAGTTAGAAAAACACAGACTATCACCAGGCTCATAATTGAAAAGTATCGTAATCTGATCAATAACTTGGTTCCTACATGACCCATTTCAAAAATTGTCCGGTTTAAGTTTAAATAATTGATAGAAATTACTTTAAAAAATGATCTTTAAGCAAACATTCCACTTCCAGCTGGTGTGGCTCACATGCACTGTGTATTTCTTTTTATCAGAAACATAAGCTATGTAGCAAACTGCATGAGGACATACAGAAGACATGGACGCCATTCCTGAGGAGAGACTGATGTTCGATGTGGAGCTGCCTGTGTTTCTTCTCCAGCCCAAGTTGGTCTCAGAAGTGCTGTCGCTGTCTGTCTGATGATGTCAGAGACAACCAGAAAAGCGTGAATAAAAACACGAACATGGAAAAACACTCACAGAATGAGAGCAGACCAATAATTAAGCTTCTATGCGAGAAGGTGAATATATGGGTTGACGAAGTGTAGCGTTAATGTTGACTGCAGGGGTGTGGAGTGGTTTACCTCGTCCTGCTGGAGAACAGGCACTGACACACTGGTCTGTTTCTGCTTTGAGTTGGACAGAGTAGAGGCTGAAGGTGGAAGTGATGAAACTAGAGGAAAGATATGACTTTTAATCTCTAAGTTCTGAAGTCTGAAGTTCAAAAAGAGTCAGAAGGGGTTTCCTCAGCATGTGCATGCAGTGACATTACATTTATCTATAAAGAGTGGACTGAATAGTTTTTATTATCATATATTACACTTGTTTTTACCATCATCCACACTTTGCTGTCTAGATTCATGTGTGCTCCTCTCTTCTCCTAAGAGGAAAGGATACTGGACATTAGAGATTTTTATTTACATACTTCTCCCATATTAAATTATACTAAAAAACTTAAGACATACAAAGCTTTTTGCCATCAACTAACACAGGTGCACTATATGAAGTAGTAAGAGTTGTTACTTGGTTGTGAGGTGAGGTTTTCCAGACTTTTGGATGAAGACATCCTGGAAGATAATCGTTTCAGAGCTGACATGATGGGACTCTCATCATAACCTGGCACAAATAAAACACAATCAGTTCTAGAAAATATACTCAACACATGGTGCATGGTTTCTGATTTACTAAGCTACCAATCAAAACTACAATTGCTTCTGCTTCAATGAGTACATGCACACTGGTATCCTTGATATGAGTCTTATCTGATTTATCACCATTTCAGCTATGAGATGGCTCAGAAACCTGGATAAGGTATTCCCATGCCACAGTATCCTGGTTACTATTGGAGTACTGCAGGTGTGTCCAGATTAATCAAAACCGTGACAAGGTCTTATCCAGATTTCTGAAACCATGATTAACTGTTTATATGTGTAAAACATAACCATGATACTCCTGAAACCTGGATCACTCAAAGACCTGCTCACAACCAAGATACTAAAATGCATGTAAACAAAAAGGAACAAATGTTGGAAGTATTAGTTAATAAGGTCAAATCCTTACTAAATCCATTTTGCATATAAAAAAGATGCTATCATCATAGTGTTGTAGGTAACATCAATCTTATTATTACAGTATAGTGATTAGCTGATTCCTACAAATCATCATCAGCTGATCTTTAATCTTAATCGAAACAAAATTAAACCGAAAAATAAACTTTTCTACTGATTAAAATAGTTAAAGGACAAATAACATCTAAACACATGTTCTACAGTTTTGTACAGATACGCCTCAACAGGAAATACAGAAGAAAAATCAAGGTCAATGTGCACAGATTGTAAAAAAAAATACACAAATGTAGATTTTGAAGAATTTGTCAGGGCAGGTTGACTAACTGTAAGTCGAATCAGGCTCACTGTGAGGTTAATGTGTTAAAGTGATTTGTTTAAAGAAAACATGAATGTGGTTTCCATTTCTCGATCATTATCATAAATGGGGAGAGAATTCAAAAGCTCACCGCCTGAACTTGCCCCAGACAGGCACCTGGCCCTGGTTGTTGTGTCTTGGCTGGAGTTTCTGTCTTTATTTAGCACAATCCAAGAATTGCTTCTAGGAAGATTTCCCACAGTGGAATTGTCACTCTTGTTACCTACTAAGTCTCTGAGGAAACGTTGTGGTCTGTGTACCACATCAGTCTCACCAGCAGCGTCTTTCTCTTGGTGAAAAGGAGGGACATGGGCCATCTTCTGTGGCCCAAGGTAGTGCTGATAATCCTGAGGGATAAAAGATCTGGCAAGGCTTGTAAAGGTCCCCAGTTTCTGCTTTGAAGCTGTTTTGGACTGTAATGAATTAGAGGAACTTGAATTACTTTGTAGTGCGTTATCATAGTGATGCTCTCTGTCCTCTGGACTTAAGGGTAGAGGGCATGAGGGGCTGTCTGTGTTAGGTTTAATATCTGTTGATGGTGTTTGCTTTGCTCCATGTGAGGGACTCTTCCTCTGTCTTGGCACTGGTGATGGCTTCCTTTGTTGCTCTTCAAAGGCTTTAGTTTGAGGGTTGATGTCTATTGGAAAGGTTTTCAAGGGAGATCCCTCCAGCCTCGGTCTCGTAGGACTGGAGGATTCTCTTGGTAGGACCCTTGGGTGGCAAGTCTTAGATGGACTCATTCTGACTTCTTCATCCTTGTCTTTTGATCTTGGCATCTGGGATTTACTGGGACTGAGGGGCATTTTTTGAGACTCTGCATCCGCCTTGACTTGTTGACAGGTTGACTGTGCATCCCCAGTACTGCCCGAACTTCTCAGCTGTGGCCTGTCTGGACTCTGACTAACAAAACCTTTGTCTGTCACTTTTGACATGGTTTTACATGGACACTTTTGATCTTCTCCTTCAGAGTTCTCTCTGTTATCTAAAGATGTTCTCATATCAGACTGTGTAGAAACAATTTTGTCGGAGAGTATTGAGCTGATTGAGGCACTCTTGTCGATTGCAATGTTTTCCTTGGGTCCAGTATATTCTGTCTGCATGAAATTCTCAAGCTCAGTGATCTTGGCCGGCCTGTTCTCTTGAGGACTGGAACTGGACTGACTGGGAAGAGAGACTGGATCGCCCTCCTGCTGCTTTTGAGCATTTAACGGAGTGATTTCCTGTGACTCTGTTACTGAACCTGTAAAAGAGTCATCTGTGTCTTCATATATGAGCACTGGATTAGCTCTATATGTGCCATCCTCGTTTGATAGAACTACAACGAGGCTACATTCAGGTTGTGGTGACAAAATATTTTCTTGGGACCTGCCAGCTGTATCGTCAGCTGTATCTTTTTGAGCTAAAATATTGTTTAAGCTCTCCGCATATGTCTGAGGGTCATGTGAAGTGTCTCCTGTCTTGGAGATGTTTCCTTGCCTTGTCTCTTCTCTGAGAAATTTGATTTTGGGACCAGTGTTTTCTCTCTCCCAGAAAGCTTTCAGGATGGATAGTCTCTCTGGAAACTGGACAGCTTTCCCGTCTGTTGCATCCTGCTTAGTGTCTACATCTATCGTGGTCTCCTCAAATGAAGTGTTCTGCAGTGCTGCGAGTTGTAATGTTCTGACCTCTGTCATTTCAAAGGGTTTAGCTTCATGTTTGACTCTTGCAGGTTTATCCATAGTCGTATCTGTAGCACCTAGGGAAATATTTGGTGCGTTGCCTGGTTCTTTGTTTCTTCTCTTCTTCATCGTCAGTTCTTCTTTCTGTGGACCCTGCACTTTAGCTATTTTCTCTTTCTGTCTTCTAAAAATTCCAAGTAGTTTTTGTATAGGCTGTGGTGAAACAGCATGAGATGAATTCCCTGAGCTGACACTTTTTGGTGGCGTGGTATCTGAGGGGGCGTCAACAGAAATGTCATTGCTTTGTTCAGGCAGGTTTTGATGATGAATGTTGTGTCTGGTTGGCCAATCTGTGGGCTGAGCCTGAGAGTGATGTTCCTCTTCAGGCTCTGTCTCCAGGTAAACAGGCTTACCTGGCACCTGCTCAGCAGCAACAAAGCTAGACACTGCAGGGCTTAGGAGCTCCGGATGACAGTGCTCAAAGACACCTGCAAAGACAGTAAGCACCTGTCGGATCACTCATGTATATATCAGTACTTTGTATATTCTAAACACTCCTCCTAATAATTACCTGTGTTGAATTTCTTGCCGTATTACTGTCAGATGAATAAGGTCACTGGTATTGTAACCACATTCTACACATAAAATGTTATGTCTGATTTCTGGAACTTTAAATTACTCTCTGCCCTGCAGTAAAAAATGCACACACACACACACACAAACCGATTTTTCTTATGCTGTCTGAAATATGTTATAAAATCCAAAAATTCTATATAGGGTAGCTTTAGTAATTTACTTCTCTTATGGACTCAATACACATTTTGTTACATTTCGTGACCCAGATGTTTTAATTAAAAATCCATGCACTCTTATTGTGGAGGCCCCACTGATATCCTCACACTTCATCTAACAGTAATACAATGAACCGATTTAAAATCCAACACCTGGACTGATACAATTATGTGGCATAGCCAAAATGCAAAAGAAAGATGCAGTAAAGCCGGACAATAGAATTAGGGTTGATGCTTCCTTTTTTCTTGATGTCTTACCCACTGGTCTCTATAAGCAGACAAGCAGTACATGCAGCAATGCACTAATGCATGACAGAAAATGCAAAAGCAGGATGAAGGTGAAAGTTAGTATTTATATGTATTTACATGCTTGTCTAATGTCAGAATGCATATGAATGTGTAGTTATTGAAATCATCGGTTGGTGGTGTAGTTGTTGACTCATTGGTTTAAATAAAAGTCTTACCACCAAGGACCTGCTGTTGTCCAGTTTCTTGCTCTCGCAGCTTTGCCTCATTTCTGAAACTGACTTCACCTTCTTGTGAATCCACTCCACACTGGTTGAGTATTGCCCTGTGTGTGCCTGAGGTGGTACAGCCAGTTTTCTCAAGGTAACAGTTATTGACACGGTTATTTTCCGTCTCGGAGAGAGTGATGGAGTCCACGTCAAGCAAACTGTGCTCTCCCAGCTCCTTCCCATTCTGCCACTCCACTCCGCTCTGACTGACCATTGAGCTGAACCTCACCTGCTTCCTGTCTATCTCAGCAGTAGAATCCAGACTCACTGGATTCTGCAGGTCCACAGGAGATAACAGAGATTTTGCGGAGATGGAAGCGTAAAATTGCTTCAGGATGCCCCTCAGAGCGCTAGAGTTAGGCTGTTTACCTACTGGTCCATCTACCTCAGAAAAATGCTCCTGATAGCTGGTGCTGGATGCTGTGTTTTCAGGCATTGACATAAGAACAGATGCATTTTGGGTGACCAGGCTCATGTCTTGTCTAAGGTTATCATAAGAAATGGAGCAGTAAGATGATGGTAAAGGCTCTGAAAAAAAACAAATGAAAGGATTTGCATCAGCCATGGTTTTAGTTATAAATGTAACTCTGGACAAAGCTACCAATGGTACTCTTCAGCAACTCCATGTCAAAGGAGTTTCCTACATTCACTTTCTGAAACTTTTGATTGCAGTCTTTTATCAGTGGAGAATGTTCTTGTCAAATTTTCATTTTTCCTTTAAAGGAATCACTTTACAAAAACACCTAACTATCAACAATGTGTTTAAAACTATCACGACTTGTTACTCTGTCTCCTAAATATTACATTCCCATATAACTCACCTGCATTCTCAATTACGTTTACATAGGCAACATATTTTCTCTTAGATTTCTTGACAGATTACCCAATATCTTTCTACTCAACCTGTGTTTGCAGTTTATTCTCATGCTTACTTTTTGCACTTGGACACATTTTTCTTTTACTAATGTTACTCTTAGCTTTATTATTTTTACCTTTGTAAAAGGTTATGTCTTCACTTTGTCAGTCTGTCTGTTTGTTAGCAGGATTCCTAAAAAAATACTGGCCAGATCAACACAAAACTCGGTGGAAGGATGCTTTAGACAGGAAAGAATTAATCAAAATTCGGTGTGGATCTGAATAAATGGGCAGATCAAGGAACATCACTTTCACACCAGATTCCAAGTGACAGGTACACAGACTAAAAAGTGAAAGACAAGTTAATGCATGAGAGAGAGACAACTGCATTGATGCTACTTGCAGGCACACAACTGCAACTGGAACACTCAGGTCTGACTGTTTGCGTGGATGGTTGAATTTTGACCAGCGGCATCTTGGATTTTTGAAATTGAAGGTACCATATTTGGTCCACAGGGTGAAGCTGATGAGGGGCAAGGAGTGGGTCTGAAGTCTATGGGAAATACATTTATGGATAATAGCATGTGCTAGTGAGCATGTGGCTACTAGTGCTGCAAATAGTGCTGCACATACCTATACAATTCAGCTACAGGGCAAAACACCTAGTTTGAATTCTCTAATGTGGCTTTAAGAACATCGACCAGTCCATGCTTCCTGGCAGTTCAAAAGACAACATTTTCCATTGGGGGAATAGGGACAGGCCTCCTCCACTAACCAAGAGTGATCAGTTGGATCAAGCCTGAGACTGGGAGATGTAAGTGGACGTGGGCCAGCGTTTTACAGTCCCATCACATATTGTCACTACCACCTTGAGACTAGACCTGATACTCTGGTCCAATACCATCGTCTACCTCGTAGAATTAACAGTACCTGGGGAGGAGGCTGTTGATAAAGTGAATGAGAGGATAAGGTGGTATGCAGACATGGCATTTGAGGCAGAGCAATGTGGCTGGAAAGCAATAGTTTGCCCTGTGGAGCTTGGCTGCAGGGGTTTCATTGCAACATCCACCATCAGGTTGCTCAAAGATCTGGAGATCCATGAACCAGCCCAGCGCCAGATCATAATGTACACATCACACATCACTCTGGATCAGAAGGAAAGATCCCAACTGGATGCTAGGGACATACACCCAGGTCTGATCAACCTGTGGTGGGCTTGCCTTAGAAGAGGGTGTCTTGTGATTAAAAGGCTGAACACTAGATACTCTCCATCTTGTCCTAAGTGTTTAGTTTAAAAAGGCATAGAGGTGATGATGGGTTAGGGTTAGGGTTACACGTCTTTGAGTACTGCCATACAAGCCAGAGGCCAGTCAGATTTACCTTTAGCCTCAGCTTACCCTGAAGTTCGGCCTGCATCATTGATTACAAGGTCAAAACACTTGATGATGCTAAGGTGCACAACTGAAGGTTTGTCCCTAACATCTGCTGGTGGCCACTAACACTGCTAACATCTACTGGTGGTTGTCTAAATTGTGCAGAAGTCTTTCAAGCGTACAAGGGATATTCAACATCTTGTCCTATATTCTAAATGTTATTATGAGAAGTATACACATTTTTGTTCATTATGAAACTCAAGGACAAGTTACAATGTGTCAGGTCGCTGCTCACAAGGGACTGAAAAAAGAAGGAATCCCTAACTTGTTCATGTATATCGTGTCATTGGGAATTCCCAAGTCCCCTTTATGCTATATTGATAAGTGGAATTTACTATAAAACTCTTCAAAACATAATTTGCATTAGATGCCGGTCATATTGATCTAGTAAGGAATTAGAAAAGCCAACTGCATTGAATCCATATTTCCTCAGCCTACTGAATTGACAAACATTGTTAAAATTGAATGCTGATTATTTTAAGATAAATACATAAGACAGAATAAACCTTACACAGTCTGGGGTTTTCAACCTATGTTTTCAAGAATGAAAATGAAATTTTGATTAAGACACACGTGGGCAAATCGAGTGGGCAAATCGAGTGACAAATAAGACAAAGTCAAGTACACACTGTCCAATATGAAATCACACTTAATTTCATGCTAATTGCATTGATGTAGTTATCTAAGGAGAAAACGTGCATACAACCAAAATAGTCAATAGTTGAAAGGCTACACTGGGTCTCAAGAGACAAACTTGCATTTCTTCCTAAAAATAAAACACGATCTATGGAGCTAGTGGTATTAGAATGGATCCAGGATGGTGTACAGTGCCTCAGTTTCATCCACTTTCAGTCTGTTATAGGCTGCATAGTGTGTAACAGAACAGTCCAAGGCTTATAATTAATACATTAATCCAATAATCAAAATGAGTCAGGCAGAAAAACCAATCTGGGTTGATTAGCGATCATAAATCAGTCTGCAAACATAATTATGTAGGCTACCAGCCTGTCAACAATATTACTGCTCTAATTCTTGCTTCACAGACATAAATATTCACAGAACCAGAATACCAAGGCCCAGCAGTCCCCTGATAAAACCACATTTATGTTTACATGATCCAGATTTTTATTTGAATTCAACTAAATTGCACAAACCCATGAATATCAGTCCTTGTGTCTTGTGTATGTCTGATTTTTTCATCTGTGAGAAATCAACAAAATAGTTAACAAACACCCTTCCTTACAATGTTATAGAAATTGAAAAAAATATCCTGGATCTGCTATGGATCCGGACCAAAAGTTATTGAGTTCTTTGGTTCTCTCCTGATCCATATTGCATCTGTCCACCATGTTTCATGGTAATATGTCCAGTAGCTTTTGCATACAAACAAACAAACAAACATAACACCTCGCGTTGTCAAAGGGAGAGAATAAACAGCAAAAATAGGTGCATGTGAAACATTTTGGTGATATTAAAAAAACAAATGCAATCTGGGAGGAAATGTGCTCCTTATGGAAACATAAGTGAGAATGCAGTTTAGTTGTGTGGGAACATCATTTTTAGGAGATGGGGTTAAAAGCAGAATATCTACAATGAAAATAGTGCTGAAGCTGGTTTTGCTCTTATCATATAATTTTTTCATGACTGCTGTGAAATATTTCCAGCGGCCACAAGTCATGCAGTACAGATTAAGGCTTTGGAATGTACTCTGTGTAATCCTCTGGTTAGTCTGGCAGCCTCGTGTATTTGGACTAACATTCACTTTGACAACCTGTGGGAAAAGCAGGGTTCCAGATCAATGGCTCATTTTTTCACTTGTCTGCTACTTTTCCTGTACCACTGTGTGAAAATGCCTTCTCTGTAATCGCACCAAAAAAGCCACAAAAACTAGAATGAATCCTGATTATAAAACTGTTAGTAAGGACATGCGAGTACATGCTTTCAGCTGCCATGCAACCACTGCTCATGCCAACATGCTGTTCACAGCAAAGGTTGAATCAGCTGCAGTGTAATGGACCCACACACCTGGATGCCAAAACGATTTTCAGAACCAGACTTACATTAGTTTGTAAAGTAACGGCTTTCATGATTTGTCCATCTAGCAGGCACTCAGTTCAAAACATAGCACAGATATATCATTAGACCACAATGGAAAAAGTCTTCCACTTATTCTCATACATATTTCAATACCACTCATCACTTTACACTAATGGTTGTATAAAAAAAAACTCACCCTCATTTTGTTTCTGGGTTTGATCGACTTCTCCATCCAACAACTGACTGCTCTGCTCTTCAAAAGTGTGCTGGGCATTGAGATCACTGTCAAAGGGATTTTTCCTCTGCTTCAACCAAAGAGAAAGATTATAAGATTGCTAAAATGGGCCTGTTTCGGTAAATGATCTGTATATTTTCATAAATTGGCATATGAGTGAGCAGATTCCCCCTGAAGCTCCTAAACAATATTCTGGTAAAATCACAGATGCATCGTTAAATGAGTTAAACATGAGTCAAACATTTCTGTCTAGCAAACAAGAGGCTTGTTCTTTTTAGGCAGGGGTTGTAGTTAGTTTTAGTTTTAGTGATATTGACCGGGGGTGCTCTCAGTTCCGTGTGGACATTCAACCTTTTCAATGATACTGTATCTCCAAACATGTTCCTACCTTTGTGGGTGACTGCACAGCTGGTTTACATGTATCAGGTGGTGGGTCATAAGGGTTCTGGGAGCTGCTGAGATAAACAGAGATTGTATTATGTGTATGTATATATGCTATTATATGTTGAAACCTTTTGTATACCATATCTGCCTGTAAACCCTCTTACCTTCACACATATATCCCAATATCTTCTTATACTTATGTACAGACACAGTTTTATACCTGCTCGTGCAGACAGCCTGTGCCACTGCACTTTAATCAATAACATTTCTATACAAACCACTTCTGCAGTGAAATGTGTATATTATGTACATATTTTGCATTTTTTATTAAATTTAAAATGATTATTCTATTGCCTTTTCAATGTATATTCTCTTGTCTCATTCTGACTTGTCTGCTGCTGTACCAACTTAATTTCACCAGTGTGTGGATTAATAAAGTTTTTTCTTATCTGACTCGCTCCGTCTTTAAAAAATAATTCATCGGATTTTGATTAAGAAAATCTGGGCACTCATCAAAGTGCATTACACTCGGTTCTTAACAACAGACTTGTTTTGGTCAGGGAAATCACTTGCTAAACATTGTTATGAGTTTATGATGTTTACAATCGTGATCGCTCCAGTGGAAAACAGGAACATGTGAGACCTGACCCTATAAGAAGATTATTGAGGGGTATGGGGCCGATTACTAAGTATCTAATGTGCACAACTCCACTCACTTTCAGTCATACAGAAATAATCTACTCTGGCCACATGTGATGGTTCTGAGAACAGACAACCCAGATCATATGTTTATACTTTGCTGAGTTAAAGTGTGGGGAGCTTTGATCGTACACTTGTTTTACTTGAATCAAAATACAGTTTTGGCATTAAAATATGAATCTCCTTTCCACTTAAATCAATCTTTTTTTTACTGTCCCCTTTAAAAGGTGTGTGGTTGAAGTTCTCTGATTCTCAACAAATCACTTCCAGAGCACCTGCTGTGTCCTTTGAAATGACATCTGGAAAAACATTTTCTAGATGCATCCACACATCCTATGCAAACACTCAGTATATGTCCGTAACAAAAATTCCTCCTTTGCTTTAACCTGCAGCTGAAACAAGCTGCAAACACAACGCTGCACTGACACTTCCTGTTGACATAGAGCAACATGAACATTCACTTTAAGTTGAGTTTCAGGTCAGTGAAGATGTGGGATTCATTATCATTTTGGATTCAGTGTCAATACTAGAAAATGTTCTGTCTCTTTAGCTGCTAAATGCTATAAGGTTGTGGGCCAAACACAGCTCGGTGGAACTTATATGTGATGAATGTGTTTGCTTTGGTTCTGTGTTCTCACCTTCCACTGCTGAGCTGCAAGGGAGGCTCCTGCAGGAGTCCACAGAGAACAGGTGGGACAAACACTTCTTTATTTTCACTGCTGACAAAACTGGTCTGCTCAGGCAATGTCTGAGAGAGCTCCACTGCAGCACACAACACACACCGTTAAACATAGTTGACCATTGGAACACAATGCATTGTTTCTAGCATTACTTTGTCTCCTCTCATGAATGTTGTAAATATTGTTATTCTGCTACACGTGGCGTCTGCTGCACTTTTATCTGTCCAAGGAGAGAGATCCCTCACATGTGACGCTCTCTGAAGTTTCTCTGTTTTTCATATTAAATTGTTAGTTTAGTTTTTCCTCACACTTGATGATGGTGAAGGCAGAGGATGTCAAACCTTGTTAAGCCGTATGAGACAAATTGAGATAGTATGGGCTATACGAATGAAATTTTCTTGATTGACTGATGATTACAAAGGTTTTGAGGAATTGTCTCTGGTTTGGCATTTTCCTCTGTAATTCTGTTCATGGAGGGAGACATTTCTCTCCTGTCATACACAGAGGACCTGCATAGACAGGCATCATGGTCACTTTACAATGTTCATGAAAAAAGGAGAAATGCAGGATGTAGCAGACTCACATATAGTGAGTGGTTTATGTGTGTGTCTCATGGAGACCCTGATGACGTCAGAGCCATGGATGCGATCCTGATGACGAAGCTGCTTGGTCTCGTAGAACCATTCTCCAGTCAGGTACCTCAGCTGGCCCTTGTCATTCACACTCCTCTGTAGCTCCCTGTGTACAGACATGACAAACACAAATGACTCCACTGGTCAGAAGATACATTTCTACATTTTGGTGTTATTTTTGAAATTTGCTCTGCTCGATGCTTTATTCCCACCTGCAGGTACCTTCAGGTAACAGACACATAAGCTTTCTACAGTTCACTATTGGTCAGGCAAGACATCTGTATCCTTTATACTAAGTTTAGGTCAAACTTGAATTAGTGACTCTACACTAGGCTACTAACGTGGACCAAATGAGCCGGGGAACTCACAGGACACGGTGCTCCTCAGCCTTCTTCAGCTCAGCATCTCTCTTCAACACTGCCAGGATAGTTTCCTGCTCCTCCTCTGTCAGGAAACTCAGGTCGATCATGGTGACTGCTGCTGGAAGCTCCCCAAGGCCTGCTTCTGTTCCTCCAAGTACAGTCACTGTCAGTAGTTTACACACAGTGGCTGATATCTGCTTTGCTCATGGTAGAAAATGCTGAAAGCACTTCTTATCACATTCACTCTTCTAGAGGTTTGGCCTCAGCTGGTGTAGATCCGTGTGTCCATGTTGGACTCTTTTTGGACCAGTTTGAGCCTGAAAGAAAACACATTCATCAATACTTTGTCTCTACTACTACATATCACACAACTGCTCAGTGGTCATTTCTACATTATCACGTTCATGAGCGCCCAAAAAACAAAACCATTGACTGTGGTCTTGAACGTGAATGCAAGCATCTATTATTCCTATGAAATCATATAGTTGTAGCCCAAATCCTCCTGTAATGCAAAGCATAACATCTGATCATTATCTGAGCCTCATTTTATTCTAATAAAGTGAAGCAGAGCAAAGTTAGAGGTTTTAGTACTGACTGCCAGTGATCCGAGAGAAGAAGAACAGCAGGTGGCAGTAGCACCTTGGATTGATTCAAAGTGACACAGACATTGATTAGGTGGCTTTAAGTTATGGATGTAAACAAAACTTATGGCATTAAAACATAAGAGGTAAGACGTACTAAACTTGATTTTTTGCTCTTGTTCTGTTGCTGGATCAGTGAGTATTGTAGACAGATGAGAGAGACATCATTGGAGTCTTTGGAGTCTGGGCTTGTTGTTAGCATGAAGCAGCACGTTCGACAGTACTGATTGGGTGTGTTGTCGACATGCTGATTTAGTTGCCTGGTGTTCTTCTACCTGCTCTAATGAGGTATAGCATGTCCACACTGACGACTTTATTCAATTGATGTTAACTCGTCTGTGTCTGTAATGTCCACCAGAGACCCTGTGGATTTCAAGAGGTTAAAAAATGGAAGATGATGCAAACTGTGAATTTGTGGGACTGTGAACTAGTTTATTCCAATCATTATGAACTGAGCTTGGAGGTAGTGCTCTTTAAGTTTGAGCTTACAAAACAATGTTCACATGACTGCTCAAAACTCATGGGTCAGACCCCAGAATCCACCAATGTCTGAGTCCACTGCCCACCTGTAGAGTTCTGTGACAGTAGCTTGTACAGACAGACAGACAGACAGACAAACAGACAGGTAGATATAGACAGACAAACATACAGACAGACAGACAGACAGACAGAAAGACAACAGACAGACAAGAAGACAGATGGATATATAAACACCTGCCAAAATACTAAAAACTTTCTCAGTGGTTTTTCCTGCAACAACATGTTATGACCTGCTACTCAAGCCACCACAACATTGTGAACAAATATGAACACTCCTTTGCCTTGACTTGTAATGCTGACACATTGCTGACTGTTCTTACTCAAAACTCTTCGTCACTCCTCCCTCCCACTGACTCCCTCTGTCTTCCATTCTGTCTACCACTAAAGAGGGGAGAAACAAAGAAGAGACACATCCACTAGTTTGAGTGTCTAAACTGTTGTCAAGTCAACAGTGAAACAATAATACACATATTTGTGAATGAAAAAACTTTGTGTGTTTGTTTGCTCTTGCAGAGCTGCTGTCTTTTCTTTAAGAGAAGACAAATCTTAAAGAGGACCGTCTGCAAGTTCTAACAATGTCCATGTCCACTGACATTAGAGGGAACAGTGGGAACTTCCCTTAATTGGTTTGAGGTTTATGTTCAAACTGCTCAATTGACTTAAAATGACCAGAGTTAAATTTGCTGAATGATCTTCTTAAAGAAAATAGTAACATCTTTCAGCTGCTGAGGATACAATTGTAGTTGTGTGACTTTGTTGTAGTAGGAGTTGGCTGGATATGGATGGCTCTCATAGTTTCACTGAAAGGGGCAAAGTCTGGGGCTTATTTCCTGATTGTTCAAGCTGTGACTTCATCACTCTCAGACTTCCTTAAGAGATCCACATGATTCTGATTTGCACATACAGTACATTTACTATGAAATGTATATTTTGACCTTGGGTTCTTATCCTGTTTTGGAGGGCTGTGTGTGCTACTGTCAAGCTCCTGAGTCTTTCCCTGTGGTTTGTTTTCACCTGTTTATTTTCTAGTTTTTCTACAGCAGCTACCTGCCTTTGTGTTTTTCTGCATTTGTGTCCTGAAATGCTTAAACTGTAGCATTAAGTGAGTAATGACAATAAGTAAGCCCATTAACAAACTTGTAGAAATCCTGTAGGAAAATGAATGTCTGTTTCTGTAGCAACAGATTTCAAAATCTAAAAGCTGGAGTTGATGCACTAATTGAATACTAAGTTTAAATTACGCTTTCGAAAAAGCAGCAGTGAATTAAAACTGGTGATAAACATACTGACTTATAAATCATTACCCAAGCTGAAGAGCTTTCTAGGGAAGATGATGTGATTTCACTGTACAATATGAAAATGAACCTAATATGAGTTATTGTTGAAGTAGTAGCACACAGTGTGTCTTCAGCAGTCCCAGTGTGGGTGAGACCACATGACGTAGATGCAGATATCTGGTTCATATTTCTAGACTTAACATATTCTATGCCACTTACAGTTTTAGCTTTTCACTACTGATAAACAATGCTCATGTTGTACTGTACACCCTTTAAATCTAATGGCACCATTTACAAAGTGGAACGATATCAGTCAACATGACTCCAGATATTACTATAAGAGTCACAACATCATGTTTCTGGGCAGCCACAGATACACAGGTGAGTTAAACCAGATTAAAAACATGGATTTGAATTTCATTATTAGTTGTTAAGTAAGTTGTTAGTAACATTTAAAACAGGCAGTTATACAAGGCTGCCCCAAGCAAGGTCCCTACAGAAAAATCTACACCAGATTCCACATTGGGAGCATTACCTTCAGTAAATTCAATTCATGGGTCTGTTGGAATGGTGTCACACCTGCTACAGCAGCAGCTGGGCTCACAATAACAGAGTTTCACTGCAATGAAGGAGTGAAACAGCTCAAACTTTCAGATGCTCTTATAAACATCCCTGCCCATTTGAATCAGGAAAGAAGTGTTTCCCCTCTGCTGTCATTTTCACCTCCTCCCAAACTGCACAGTCCAAAAAACAATGTTAAGACAGCACACAGAGGAAAGTGGAGCACATAACCCACAGAAAAAAACAGAACAGTCTGCTCACCTCCGCCTGTTGCTCCTTGCTCAGTAACAACTTCACTACAACAGGATCCTGGTCTGCTGCAGGAGGGAGGAGCTGCAGATCAACCAACCACCAACATGAGGCTGTTAGGCATCTCAGCTGCTTCCACATTAAACAGCTTGACAAATGTGTTCAGTTCTCTTGTTTACCTTTCATGGACTGAAACCTCTCCACACATGCCTGAAGGAGTTTCATAAACTTATTCAGAGTCATATCAGGCAACAGGGAAACGCTTGGCAGGAAAGTGATACTGCTTTCCAGTTGCACAGCATGCATGACTTACCAAGAGTCCACACTCATAAAACTCAGCAGTGATCTCACGCACCAATGAAACTATTTGACTGTTGTTTCATCACAGCTCAGAAAGAAAAACTGCTACTTTCACCAGTGTCCTGTGTTTTTTAGTATCTTGTACCATCTCAGTCATCTGCTCTGTGACGGTTCATCTGACACTTTTTTATTTCTGCTTCTAGCAGCTCCCCAGTTACAACAAGGCACTTTCACAGTTCTCCTTCTCAGTGAGGTTTCCTCCTCTCAGCTATCAGCTCACTCACCACAATACCTGTCTCACCAAAATGCTTCCAATGTTTTTCCATTTCACCCTGAACATGACCTGAGAGGTACACAGCCAGAAGGGCCCACCCTGAAGAACATGTTAGTCTGCTGTTTTATTTAGTTCAGTTTGGTTGCAGAAAAACTAGAAGTCATGATCATTTCAGTATTTTGGAGTTGATTTCACATGAGTGAGATAGTGAATTGAGTTGGTTCCACCAGTGCATGAATGATGTGCGACAGACAAAGTGCAGTGCATGAATGTGTGTGTGAATGGATTAATAACAAAACTGTACACTGAAGGGCTTTGGACAGGGTTAGGGTTAGGGTCCACAGCTGTGGATGAGGGGGTAGAGCGAGTGTCATCCTCTAACCGGAAGGTCGGTTTGATCCCATTCACATGCTGAAGTGTCCTTGAGCAAGATACTGAACCCCAACATTGTCCCTTCCTTTTAGAGAAAATGCTGCACATAGGTACACTGTGTGAATGTGTGTGTGATCATTTTACAAATACATACTGCTGACATCACAGCACAGCTGGTGATTTTAAGATGGAGTCGTTTTTATTTACTGCAGGTTAACAAACATACTTATTGTTATTGTTAGTGACTGGCTCAGGAACATGTCAGTGACAACAGGGATGTGAATCCAGCTGTAATAACATACTGGATATGTGAGATTCTTCATCATC